AACGATACGATCCTATAAATCGAATAATGCAATTCGCAATACTTATTAAGCTTCCTAGAAGAATGGTTTGTTAAGAATGGTGCGTCAATCTCTCTGAAACTATCGGAGTAGAATTCACACAATCACAATCGAATCGGTAGGATAAAGAAAATGATAGTGTTTGTTCCCTCCTAGACTCCGGTTGTCATACCACTCCAATCGTCCAGTTCCAGGTCAAATGATACCCTGATGCTCCCTCCCAACCCTAAATACTGGGTTTATATGTAATGGAGAAATGAAATAAATCAGAACATTAAAATACGTAACAATGAAAATACATTTATATGGATTAAAAAAAATTGGTATTCTGCTATGAAAATAATAATTATTTTACATACAACAAGATGCAGCTCTTTGTCTCCTCCGCTCCCAATATCAGAAAGATGTAACCCTAAAATTTCCAGGTTATATAAAGGGCGAACACGAAATTATTGCGACACCGAAAATGTCATGCCAATTTTCTTATAATGTTTAGAATCAAACCAAAATTTTAGGGTAGTTTTATACATATATTTACTTCAAAAATCAAAAGAAAAGTTAATCGATGGAGCCTTGAGTGTAAAATTGAACGCATTTTCGCTTGATGCCCTCCATCAAAGTCTTTACAGTGTCATCCGGTACCAGTTTCTCAGTTTTTTTTTTTCCATTTTCTTAACATGTCCTTCTCGTCTTTGACTGTCTTCTTGCTCTTCCGAAGTTCCCGCTTCATTATTGCCCAGTACTGCTCCACCGGGCGCAGCTCCGGACAGTTTGGCGGATTCATGTCCTTTGGAACAAAATGGACAGAATTGGCCTCATACCACTCCAGGACACTTTTAGAATAGTGGCATGATGCCAAATCTGGCCAAAATAGCGGAGCTTCGTCGTGTTGCTGCAAAAACGGCAAAAGGCGCTTCTCGAGGTACTCAGATTTGTAGATCTCGCCATTTACTGTGCCCTTTGTCACGAAAGGCTCACTCCTCAGTCCGCAAGAGCAGATGGCCTGCCAAATGAGATATTTGGAGGTGAACTTCGACATTTTCTTCTTCTTAAATTTGTCGTCCACATCGAACTTGCTCTTGCCGGTGAAAAACTCCAACCCCGGAATTTGCTTAAAATCGGCTTTTATATACGTTTCGTCGTCCATCACAAAACAGCCATATTTTGTCAGCATCTTCTCGTAGAGCTTCCGTGCCCGAGTTTTAGCCGTCGATTGTTGCCGCTCATCGCGGTTTGGGAAGTTCTGTACCTTGTATGTATGAAGTCCAGCTCTCTTCTTTGCATTCTGGACGTAGCTCTGCGACATGTCGATCTTTTTAGCCAAATCACGGCTTGAGACGTTGGGATTTGCTTTAATCATCCGCTTCACCTTTCCCTCCGTCTTTTTGTTCTCCGGTCCCGGTTTTCTTCCAGCTCCTTTGCCGTGGTCCAACGTCAACCGCTCCTGGAACCGCTTCAACACTCTGGACACGGTTGAATGGTGAATGTTCAACATTTTTCCCAACTGCCGGTGCGACAGGTCAGGAAATTCCAGGTGTTTGGAAAGAATTTGTTCTCTCAACTCGCGTTGGTTCACCTCCATTTTCGTTGAATCGAAAAACACGACTTCGAGTTTGACAGCATGTACACAATACACATCAATGAGAAAGTGTGCAAAATTTGGTTGATTTTTACCCAATGGTAAAAAAGTTATGCCCTGTTGAATGTGTCGCAATAATTTCGTGTTCGCCCTTTAATGCTAATAAATGTTTTTAGTTCGAATGATACTTGATATTTTTATGTGTTTTGTTGTGGGAGAGCTTGGGATTAAACCCATGACATTCTGCTCATTAAGCAAAATCGAACAACCTAGGGTTATCGAGCTTCACGGCAAAACATGATTAAGCCCTCACTTGGTATGTAATGAACAAAAGAAATACGCGATAATTCATATGGTTTCACCGGTTGAAGGTTAATTTTAAATATACTAACGGTACTGCCTACGGTGACTACGACAGCGAATACGACGGTGCCTACGACGACGACAACAGCAAATTTGTAGCTTACCATTTGTCTAGGATATAACACCTATGCCCAGCACCTCCACTTGAGCTTCATGTCTGCTATCTGTCACTGTTTGCACAAATATCTAATAACAATTACCTTTGTTGTAATACTTCGTTCAACGAAAACATTTTTTCTTGCATTGCCATGGTTACCTGGGATGAGGTTTGCGTCTAGTGCTTTCCCCAGGTTCCATTCACGGCCAGCAGCTACCGCCCGTCCAGTCTTGGGCGTATCCAGCGAGGCATCCTTCAGCTTGCTCACAATCTCCGACACTGGCAAGAGATCAACAGACGAGCACTTTTGTAAGCCGTAAAGTCGATGATTCAGGCAACGTCGGCTACCGAATCACCACCAAAACTCGCGACGGACACATTATCAGCACTTTCCCCTTTCGATCGAAAACACTGTTTTTGTTTTCAAAATCAAACAACGCAGATAGCGCAAAATCTTCTGATGAGAAATCTTCATGCGTATTTGTTAGTAAAAATCCAGGAAGCAGTTCTGCTGATTTTTTACATGATTTATTTGGTTTAGGCATAAGAAAGCAATTTTCTCCAAAATAAACTGCAATGTCTCATTTTCACCAACGACTGGGAGCAGAATACATACTCTCATTTTCTGAATCAGGAATGAAATCAGCATTCCGTTGGTTGAAAGCGCCATAGATATAAGTTTTAAATTCAGGAGGAAATTGAGATACTATTTCTACGGCTATTTGGAAGAATATTTCATAAGAAGTCTTACAAGTATAATCTGGTGAAAAGTACACTGTGGCAAAGATATGAGTTTCCCCAGCTTTATTTGTTTTCAACCACACATGCTCAAATTCTTTAGATTTCGGTGACACAATAACTTCCGAATTAAATTTTGATGAGATTGCGATAAGAACTCCACCACCTGACATTCTTTGAGTTAAAACTAAATCGCGATCATCTCTGAAAACATTATAATCACTGCAAAAATTTCCTAATTTTTAATGGAATCATTCCAACTTGTTTCACTTCACATTATAACCGAAAAAGAAGAGTTCAATATATGCTTATAAATTTCATTCATTTTTGATGCGCTCTTCATGCGATTGAAATTCTGACAATAAACCAGAATTTCAGTAGAATGTATTCCAGAGGAAATTTTTGGAAGATCCTCCGATTCGACAATATTATTTAAAACTATTGATTCATTACCAGCCGCATCCGGTTCGTCATGGTCTGCCTCTGAATAGTGCGTCAAGTTGGACGAAAACACGTATGTTGAACACAGCACGCCTCACATGAAGAGCATCCAGTTGACCTGCAAGCCAGGCGTAGGCCGTGGTAATTCACCATCAGTTGGATATAGATTGAGAGTCTCACCTCTCTGGCACTGTATTGGCCGGTGGGAATTCGATGCAGCAAACGGGGATCCGTTCGCTTGACAAGGGTTTAAAATTTCACCTCGTTGGAATCGTCTGTAGTTGATCGTCGGCTGTGAAAAACGAAGTTGGTAGATTCTCCGGTCGCTCGAAAAGTTGTTACGAGCGGTGATGTTATTGTTGAAACTTGCTTTGGGGGCTGTTGCCATTATTGTAATTACTGTTGTTGTTGTTTCTATCGTTGTTATTGGTATTATTTCTGGATTTATTTAGCTTCCTCCGTTTTTTCGCCTTATCGGTTATTTTTTGCTGGTTAATACGACGATTTTTTCGCTCATCGTATTGAAATCAGTCTGCCCTTCATACCTTTCTGGTTCCCAGAAGACGCCATCCGTCATTTAAACTAAATAGATTGCTTATTGCCGTTATAAAACCACAAGAAATCAGAGTGAAATCCAAGAGCTGTTAAATTCTTACTTGGGTATCTTAATATCAAAATGCATATTATTTGCAGTGAAACCTTAGCTGATATTAGCTGCAGTGCAATAAATATTACAATCATACAGCCATAATCATGATGCACATATAAAAATGATTCTGTATCTGATTGCTATAGTGGAGTTTCCACTGCATTACTCTCTGCTCTATATGACTAAGCCTCACCTGATCAAACATAAAAAAAAATAGAAATCGAAACTATGTGCCCCAAGCAATCACTTTCCACCCGACCCCGTCAGAAGCAATTAACACGAGGCTGCCCAAAGTCGCCCATAAAGTACAACAAATTAAGACGCTTATGAATTCCAACGCTTCCACCCTGCGCGGCGGTCACACCCGGCAAGATTAGGAACAAGGACAACCGGCAACCGGGCTTACTAACTAGTACCGAACCGCCGACCACCAACTGACTGGCACTGCTCGCTGATAGTGTTTTGTATAGTTATACGAACTAGTAGAACCACTTATCATATCCACAATAGCAATATACCCAGCTGTACTCCACCGGCAGTCGAAAAACCGTGCGCACAACTTGCTCGATAATAACTGTCGTGATCGGTGCTCATTACGGCAAGAAATTAAGTTATGAATTTATTGAGTTCCCCTTCCTTAAGCCCCACGGGCCAACGGTAGCAAACAAGTCCGAAGTAATGGATTACACACTTGAAAGGGAAAAGTTCGTTCTTCTTTCTGTCAAGCCTCCAAATATGGAAATGACCCCCCAAATCGGAAGAAAAAATGTTGGGTGCTGTTGGAAGTAAGCTTGAGAGGGGCGATAGGTGGAGTCGGAGGAAATTTTTATGATAATTGTCGCTTTGCTTTGGTTTGTCAACTCGGAGAAGTCAAAGTTTTTCTTTCGAGAAAGTTTTCGATTGCTTCATATTTCCCGGATCGGGCCGTTGACGAATCTATTAAGTGGAGCAATAGAGTCATTGAATGCTAGTGAGATTTGACTGAGTTTTGTTAACTGCTCTTTGACACGGAATGGAAGTTTGGAAAGTGTAATCTTACCTGTTGGAACCACGGATGATCGGATATGTTTGCGCATATAAACAAGAGTTTTTTTTTCTTCAATTCAATGGTTATTATTGATAACTTACTATTAAGCGATTCCAATATTTACAAACGAAATAAATAAGTTTTTCGTAATTGTCCTACTTTTCGTATGGTTGATGTCAGATCAGATATACTTCTATTTATAATGAGAGATTCTATGTACAATTTATACACTTTGCTTTACCTACAGTCAATTGATTGACACTCACTTGATTAAACGTTCATTGAACCGATTCGCTTGACAAATGGTAATTTAAAACACATAATAAACCATACACTGATTGACGCGGTTCGGTAAGCAGTTCAGACGAAATTTACAATGGTATAAACTAGGACAAAACTCCACTTAAAAAATGGACAACATCCAAAATATATCCCTTCCTCTAATAATATACATTCCATAAGCTGTTGCGTTAGATTAACATTAAGATATCACAGATGTTTTATTCCGCTTCTGCACTTGTTGCGTCGTACTTAAACTGAAAACCGAAATTGTCTGATAGCTGTCGGTCTGGTTACGACTATTGCAAAACCTCCAAATTACGAACTCATTCTCGGACGCAACCGATGCTAGCCACTGGCCGGCGATGAACCCATGCGGGATTCGGCTGCTGCCTGGGCGGCCGCTTGCATCTCCTGCAGTTCCTCCTCTTCCCGGGTCAGCGGAATTGTCGAGTGATTGTACAACCCCTGGGCCATCAGCTGCAGGGCCAGGGGGTTCTTATGGCCGGAGGATTTCTTGATCTTGGCTCGCTTGTTCTGGAACCAGATCTTGATCTGCGCCTCGTTCAGGCCCAGCTCGCCACTCAACTGCTGCCGGCGACGCTCGGTTAGGTATCGGTTCTCGGCGAACTCGTGCTGGAAGGAAGAATAAAGGGTAAATTCAAATTGTGAGTTAAAAATTAGGAAAAACTGTGGAAATAAGCTTTGAAAATAGCCATGAAAAACAGAGGATTGTGAGAGTTGGTTGGAAATTCTATGCTAAAATCAACATGAAACTTTAGTGCGATAATTTATTAGCTAGAGATAGTTCTGAAGAGAGTACGTTAATAGTTCCGCTGCAGAACGGCTGTGTTGTTTTTCTTCAAATTCACAGGCAAAAGAGTGCGCGTTTGACTTGCTCATATACTGAGGCCTATTCTGCGCCGCGGATGAGGTGAGGTGACTCGCTGTCACTAGTGAGGTGACAATAATCACCGCGAATGAGGTGACTCTCCATTTGACTCGTACGGAAAGTCACCACACTCGCGGTGACTTTTGTCACCTCACTAGTGACAGCGAATCACCTCACCAGCGTTGCCAGATATACCGATTTATCGGTATTTCTTCCGATTTTCGAATTTGATACCGATAAACAGATAAGGCTAATCAAAATACCGATTTAAACTGATTTTTTAATAGTCAAAATGCTTATTGCCTGCCCGCGCAGAACTTTCAGAGAAAACCATCTCTCACATTAAACTTTTTTATGTATGTCCAAATTAAGCCTTAAAATATATCATAAAATTATTCATCTTAATAAATACTTTTTCGACTAAAGGGTGTCCCACATCACATTTTATCACAGAAAAAACGCTGTAGAAAATTACCCATTGGGTATTTTATCTTGAAAATTTGGGTAGAAGTAGTTTAGAGTGTATTGTTTACACTGTATTTTAATCGCTGTCAGTTGTTCGAAAGGTGGAAAATATGGCGTCACCCGAAAGGCAACGTCGCGAATTGATTTTGAGCAAGCACCTGGAAATTACTCAACTCTCTCATCGGGACATCGGAAAATAACTCGGAATCGTGCAGTCAACGGTGAGTCGTGTGATTAAACGTTAATACGAAACTCTGAGCACCAAACGGAAGAAGAAATGCGGTCAGAATGGATGTTCTATTAGTGATCAAGATAACAAGCGTGTCGTGAAAACGTTTAAGCGGAATCCCAATGCTTCGGTCAGGGATGTGGCCAAAAAGTTGAATCTGTCCAAGTCTTTCGTTCAGAGAGTCAAGGACTGGGAGGCACTGTATACGTACAAAGTACAGAAGGCTTCAAACTATGACGAACGGCAAAATACGGTGGGAAAGTCACGGGCCCGGAAACTGTACACACAGATGCTGACGAAGCCTCATTGTCTCATCATGAATGATGAGACTTACGTCAAGGCGGACTTCCGGCAGCTACCGGGGCTACTGTTCTTCACCGCCCAGCACAACGGAATCCGCCGTTCGTGACTACCGGGACTGTAACCGGGGAGATTTACCTCAAGGAGTGTCTACAGAAGCGTCTGCTTCCTCTGTTGAAGCAACACGAGGGCCCTACGATCTTTTGGCTATTCAAATGTTGTCCAACGGGGTCACTTTCGTACCCAAGGACATGAACCCCCCTTCAACGCACCGGAACTAAGGCCCATCGAAAAATACTGGGTTATTATGAAGCAGACACTACGGAAGCATCCCAAGGAGGTCAAATCTGAGGAAAACATGAAGAAAAAGTGGGTTTCCGTACCGAAGAAGCTGCAGCCAGATGTTGAACAGAACCTAATGAGTGTAGTTAAGCGTAAGTTGCGAGCGTACGGTTTAGAGGTGGGCAAAACAGCTCATCTGGCTGAGTGGATAAAACCCATCCAACTCACTAAAGGGAGCCGATTCTTGTGAACAGCTCTTCAACTCACATTGCAATTATAGAAATTATGACACAAATTCAAAATGGGAAAATGAATTAGTGGTTTTAATGCTTAAAGGGTGTCCACGATGAAATTGCCACACTATGAAATTCCTCTAACTTTTTAACCGTTGGGTAGAATTTAATGAAAATTTGGGTGGATTTAGTTCATAGTGCATTATTTACATCCTGCAAGTTTTAAAGTCCTGTGATCAAAACTCGCGGAAATGGAGTCGAAAGAACAGCTCGTGCGTGATAAAATCTTGCGCATTCATCACGAGAACAAGGATCTCTCGCATCGTTCCATCGCTAAAACGTTGGGAATCGCGAATTCCACGGTGTCGCGAGTGATTAAGCGGTTCGAGGAACGGTTGACCACCGATCGGAAGCCCAGAAATGAAGGAAAAAGTATTCCGTACAACACCAAAAATCACAACCGCGTAGTTGGGGCCTTCAGCCGAAATCCGAACGCCTCCGTTAGGGATGTTGCTAAGAAGCTGCACCTAAGCCGAAGTTTTGTCCAGAAGGCCAAAACTAAGGCTGGGCTTCGAACGTTCAAGGTACAAAAGGCCTCTAATCGCGACGAGAAGCAGAACAAGTCCGCCAAAACCCGTGCCAGGAAGTTGTACCTCAACATGCTGACGAAAGTTGAATGCTGCATCATGGACGACGAAACATATGTGAAGGCCGACTTCAAACAGATCCCCGGCAACCTGTTTTTCACGGCCAAGGATAAGTTCAGCGTTCCGGAGCATGTCCGCACTCAGAAGATGTCCAAATTTGCGAAGAAATTCCTGGTTTGGCAAGCCATCTACACGTGCGGGAAGCGGAGTGCACCTTTCGTGACCCAGGACACGATGAACGGACAGGTGTACATAAAAGAGCGGCTGCTTCCTCTCCTGAAGGCCCACAACGTCCCAACAATCTTCTGGCCGGATTTGGCCTCATGCCACTACTCCAACGACGTGCTGAAGTGGTATGCGGACAATAAGGTCAATTTCGTGCCGAAAATGTTCAACCCTCCCAACACTCCGGAGCTCCACCCCATCGAGAAGTACTGGGCGATTATGAAGCAGCACCTTCTTAAACGACCTAAGGTAGTGAAGACAGTCGAGGAACTGAAGAAAGTATGGGTTTACATGCAAAAAACGGTTGATTCACAGGTTGTGCAGAATCTTATGGCCGGGGTTAAGGCCAAGGTGCGGGCATTTGTGTATGGACTGTAAATAAAATACGAGTAAAATGGTAAAATGAAGTTTAATAGTTATTTCTCAATCCCTGAAAATTTGATGGCAATCGGATGAAAACTCGAATTTTGCGAATCAATTTTGTGTGTGGCAATTTCATCGTGGACACCCTTTAAAACTGCAATCGTAAAAGTAGTCTAAACCAATAAATCCGTACCTTACAACATGGCTTTACTTTTCAATGGAAAACTCCACTAACACAACAACTGATCAACCATCGCGTAAACCAAAATGCGCGCAAAATGTGCTAATAACATAACATAAAAGCAAAAAATACATGCGAGAGAGCTACACCTATGTCACACGCGATGATATAATTGACATCTATGCAATCCAGTCTAAATTCAGATTATATTTCTGATGTTAATTCTCCAGCAGAGTTTTTCTCACTATTCTCGGCTTCTGCTCCAGATCTTCAGCTCAGATCCAGATACGGAGCTGAATCGTGAAGAATCGAGAGGGAGAGAGAGAAAAAAGATCCGAAGAGCTGGACGGGTCCGAGAGCTGGACGGGTCCAAGAGTTGTCATCCTAAACAGCTCCCAGTGAATCATTCGAGTCGATGATTCGGATCTGGACCTGGAGAGCTGCATTTCGCTTTTCGGTGATTTGCTTTTGTGCGGATCTACCGCTCTCCCAGAGATTGATGGGAGTAGAGGTGAGAGCACATATGCTGGAGGAATAACATCAGCAATAAGAGTCGGGTACATAAATAAATTGGATAATACCAGTAGAAAATTAACATCGTATAGTTTGAATAATTGTTGTACATAGACCACGTTAACCTTTGTTCAGCTTTTAAACATCTAAATCTGGTGATTTTAATCAGCCAAAAGCTTAACAGTAATATAAATTAAAAGCTTTTTAAGGCATTAACTAACAGTCTTTTCCAACCCTTGTTCAGCCTTCTAGTTTTATTAAGAATAAAATAATTAAAGACCGCTTCATACCTTATATATTTTTATGGAACTGCAACAAGGTGCTGACTAACTAATTGGATTTACATATTCATATTGTTATTATAAGTCTAAAAATTACCTTTGCATTTCGGGATTCGAACCGGCAGTCACTGATTCACAGGCATCAGTCTTACCTACTGGACCACTTAAGCATATGTGTGGAAAGATTAATTTCTATCATTAGCTTGACGTGGTATGATCATTAGCTTGAAACACGTCAAATTTAAGTTGAATAACAGCAACCGGAAGAGTATTATACAGCAATGCAGAATTGTAAACACAGAAATATAAATGTTAATGCTTCCAACGTCGTCGCAGCCCACTTCTACCTGGGGCGATTCATAAAAAGCTCCTCTACCTTGTCTCTACTGCTGCCGTTGCTTGGGATTAGAAAGGTGAATGTAGAAGAACTAAAATGCCGGAAATGCAACGAGTTACACTGACTACATTTAACAAATCAGGCTATCAAAATATTTGTAGTGCATTGCTGATTTGTGGAGTAGTGTTAAGCTTAAATAAGGCTTTTTCAATCCTTAGATCAGCTAACTTATTGAGGTTGAATTATGGGGATGCAATTAGCTTCATCAACTACTAATCAACTATATATTCAGCCTGCTTTTAATCAGCTTTGTACACCTTAAATCAACCAATAATCAGCTTCTGTTCTCACTGTTCAGCTTGAATTGTTACTCGGGGTGTAGGGGACGATTTGGACAGCCTGGGACACCGAGGTGAGGAACAACAGGACACACCATCTTCGGAAGATTAAGGCGACCACCGGAACCTGGAAGGATCGACCAAACCTACGATAACAGCGAGTGGTGTCAAGGCTGCGCACTGAGCACAGCAGAGTCTCCCACAACTTCGGAGGAACACCGTTCTGGAGGACCTGCGAAACCTGCGGAGTGCCAGCCACCGTGGAGCACATCCTCGTGAACTGCGCGGAGTTGGAAGACCTTCGGCTTGGAGTCAATCAGCATTCGGAACCTGTTGGGCGACGAGTCCCCGGCAGCAGCCGCCCTCATCACCTTCCTAAAGGAGGCGAACCTTTACCACAATATCTGAGTGTTCCTTGTTTGTATTTCCGTTTTGTTGGCCCTTTTGGCAGTTTTCTACACCTTTTCATTATAGCAAGATAAATGTACCACAGCCAAGATTGGGAATCTCCTTCTGAGAACCCAATTTTGTTTTTCTCAATTTTTCAATCTTAAGAGATGAACTATTTGGCTAAAAATCTCTATAATAAAGAAAAAAAAATCGTGTAGCACATGTACACACTTAATTTTTTTTTGCCGAGATTCCAACAGCCGAGTAGTTCTGCAATTTATTTTGCTGAGATTCAGTAAAACAATTGCCGAGAATGAGCTAACAAATATCATTTTGCTGAGATATCAGTTAAAAAACAGATATTTTGCAGATCTATCAGCAAAAGCAAATGCCGATGCAATCGGCTGTTGGAGAATTTAACGGGCCATCGCCGTTTTTGGCTACCCAGGAATCGCGAAGCAGCTGAAGGCTCATCCCGGTACTTCCTGGGAAACGGGTAACATCCAGAGGAAACGACATTCATTAAAATGCATTTTATTTAAAAAAAAAACTTGGCAGCGCTGCTATACCTAGATTGCGAGCAGGCTAGAAAGAAGGATATCTGCAATAGAAAAAAAATGTCCGGAAAAGAAAATAAAATCTGATTTTTTTTTTTTTCGTTGACGTGGATGCGAATGCGGATTTTAGGATACAACGAATGTGGGATGAGGATGGCGGAGATTCAACCGATTTCCATCGGAAATTCCTTTCGACATCCCCATCCATCTTCCTACCGGGTTTTTTTTTTTCAACTTCCCCTAAAAAATTCTTTTGACTGTCCTGAAAATCCTCTGGTTTTCGCCGGAAGAAGCTTGCGACTTTCTTCAAAAGTTTCTTCCAAACTACCTCAAGATGTTTTTTCTAGCATCTCCAGGAAGTTCCTTTATACTTCTACCAAAAGTACCTATCAAATTCTCCTGGAAGTTTCTTTCAACTTCCCCTGGAAGTTTCTCCATAAGCATATTTCGTAGATTTTTTTCCGTCGTCTATTGGAACGTTTTTCCGAGCTTCTTCTTTTAACTTCCCCTGGAAATGGCTACTCCTGGAATTTCCTCCAGAAGAGCTTCTGTCTTCTTTAACTGGATGTTTTATCGACTTCTTTCAGAGGCAAGTTCAAACATACCCCGACAATTTCTTCCGACTTAGTTGTTAGCCCAAAAGTTTAAATTTTCATCTTCAAAATCGCCAAGGATATACAATTATTTTAAATAGCAAATACCGATAAATAGCGATTTTTTAAACCTCTGATACCGATTAGCTTGAAAACAATCTAGCAACGCTGGATCAAGTTTGAATAGTTCTTTCGATCTGTATTGAGGTCCCCAACAATTGTGCCAAATTTGAATGAGTTTGGTTATGATCTTGGTTATGGTCGAAAGGTACAGTAGCAGCACCTACCCTACCCGTGTCTCCTCAAGATAGTCAAGTCAACGATGACAGGAGCACATACCGTGGTAGAGGTAACAATAGCTGCAATTTCCAAACCCACGACTGGATGCCTTCCTTAAGATAAACATCTTGAGTGCAGTAAAAATCTATAGAACTGTTTCAAACACATCGTTGGTACATGAGTGTGTCGGCGATCATCTCTTTTGCCAGTGGTGGTGGGGGTAATACCCCTCACCATCCCTTTCCAACGGGGGAGTTTGGTAAAGAGAGATGATCAAACCGAGTTGTACCTTCCTAAAAAGTTGTCCTTTCTCGCTTTCTACTCTCTATATACAATTTTCACACTGCCGTACTCTAATAGAACTATCAACTCTATACTTTCATCTCCTCAGCCGGCGCCAGTGGTGTAGTGGTAAGCGTGACTGCTTTCTTACACCCCGATGGGTCTGGGTTCAATCCCAGCCGAGATCGGTGGGATTTTTCTGAGGCATAAAAATCTCTGGTCACGTCTTCCTTCGGAAGGGAAGTAAAGCCGTTGGTCCCGGCCCATGTGTGTTGAATGGGTGTGATATCCTATGCAGGTGTGGAAGCTGCATTCCTGCACATTCGATTGCCGTCAATGGATGGCAATCGATGTCCGTCGGTGATTGGCACTAGATTGCGGAACAAAGACCAACGTTAAATAAAGGAAAAAAAAAAGAAAAAAACACTTTCATCTCCTCATCTATCGTATAAAAATTACCAGACTAATGTTATTTGAAATAAGCATCTTCAACTATGAAAACATGTTTCAACAGATTCCTTACATGCATTTTCAGTGGTCCGGTAACTGAAAAATAATCACTGTTCATACACCGAAAGTTGAGTACACATGTTTGGATCTGAATTTAGAATTATGATAATCGAATCTTCAATATAGAATATTGAATTTCACCTAATTTCAAAGCTCATTAGATTTGAAGCTTTGTTGATTTTGGAACTACATTTATGATTTATTAATTTTGAAAGTACACTCCCGATCATAAGTTTGGGATCTAGTTTGAAAATTCTTCCCTATTATAAACCAAACCAACCACATACAGCCGATGGATTAAAAATTCACCAAAACTCCAAAATCCAAAAATTCTCACAATTTACATAACACTAGCCAGTTAGCAATTAGCACCCCCTGCTTACCTTCAATCTCGCCAGCTGTGGTCCACTGAAGGCCGTCCGTGGTCGTTTGTCGTCGGCGAGTGCACCACCACCAGAGCCGCCACCACCGCCGCCGCCGCCACCGCCACCACCACCGCTGCCACTGCCACTGCTGCTGCTAGGAGGCGCCTTCTCGCTGGGGCTCTTCTTTGGTTTACGCGCTCGAGGACCTAAAGGAAGAGAAGAAAATAATCGTGAAGCTAGACGTCTGAACGTGGGGCCAGGTAAATGCAGTAAACATAACAGAAAATTTAATCATCAAATAAACCACGCTTCCGTAGCACGCATCATAATTCGTAGTGCACACCAAATGGGGCCCTTCTGCATCGCGGCGTGTAATGAGAATATTTCGGGAGTAATGAGACTTCTACGATGGGAAAGACCACCAACGAAGATGACGGCGACGACGACGACGACGACGATAATGCTTGGACTAGAACCAACCGGGCGCAAACCTGGCGCCATTCAAGCGCCAACTGAAATCACACTCAATTTAAATTTCAAATAGAAAATGATCATGCAGCAAAAAAGAAGGGTTCCACAAACGCTAATAGGAGAACCGAACCAACCGAGAAACCAGATGAGCTCTGGGTAGAAGATAAGTAGGAAGGCAAGCTGTGCGTGGAAAATCAACTAATCTAATAGGATAGCAGTTGCACGGCAACTGATGAATCGATTTGCTATTTTTTCAAAAATGACATTTGTCCCGCTCCGACTGCCATGTTACTTCGCATAATGTTTCACTAAATTTGTGGGAATGCGGCCATTTTTGCACAAGCCTAATTTTTCAAAATGGCTTATTCGATATTTTTTAATAAATTAGGTATGGCACGAAAACGGCTCATCCAATCGAAATGACATCTCAAACAAATTTATAGGAAACTGGATTGCCTTTTCAGAAAAAAAAAACACAAACACACACACACAGTGATAAAAAATCACAAATGCTAGTCAAAAAAGAAAGAACAAGAAAAACTTCAAGAACAAGAAAATATTAAGATTTTCAACATATGTTATGCAGCTTATCAAAAATGCTATTTTTTCTAAAATGGACACTTCAAAATTTACCAAAATCATACCAACTCGTAACATCAACTATTACAGTATTGTTCCGTTTCTGGCAACAAGCTTTTCGTATGCAGTTGCCGGAATAATTTTTAGTTTCGAAATATTTTGTTTAAATTTATAGTACTAATGAAACAAATCCTCGAGACAGCATAAAAATAATTCTTATTCACCTATCAGTGTCATTTTACTATTATTTTGTGTATATAATGAGAGTTTATACTTTGACTATATGTTTTTAGTATTACTTCTACGTGAAGTCAACGATTTACATAGTTGAAGATGCTAATTTCAAATAACAGACTGTAGTGGTAATTTTTATACGATAGATGGAGTAGATGAAAGCATAGAGTTGATAGTTCCGTTAGAGTACGGCAGTGTGAAGATTGTATATAGATATTAGAATAGCGAACTAGGACAACTTTTAAGGAAGGTACAAATCGGTTTTTTCATCTCTCTTTACCAAACTCCCCCTTTGGAGAGGGATGGTGAGGGGTGTCCCCCCCCCCCGCCACCACTGGCAAAAAGAGATGAAAACCGACCCGTGCAAGTACCAACTGTGTGTTTGAAACAGTTCTACCGATTTTTACCGCACTTCAATTGTTATTTGAAGGAAGGCATCCAGTCGTAGGTTTGGAAATTGCAACTATTGTTTACCCCTACCACGATATGTGCTCCTGTCATCGTCGACTTGACGATCTCGAGGGGACACGGGTGGGGTAGGTGTTGCTACTGTACCTTTCGACCATGTCCCCTCGAGATCGTCAAGTCGACGATGACAGGAGCACATACCGTGGTAGGGGTAAACAATAGTTGTAATTTCCAAACCTACGACTGGATGCCTTCCATCAAATAACAATTGAAGTGCGGTAAAAATCGGTAGAACTGTTTCAAACACACAGTTGGTACTTGAACGGGTCGGTTTTCATCTCTTTTTGCCAGTGGTGGCGGGGGGGGGACACCCCTCACCATCCCTCTCCAAAGGGGGGTTTGGTAAAGAGAGATGAAAAAACCGATTTGTACCTTCCTTAAAAGTTGTCCTAGTTCGCTATTCTAATATCTATATACAATCGAGAGTTTATATTTTATTCCTATTTTTCTGTACGGAGATAATTTCTCGAAACATGTACATTAGGCTGTCCCATTTTTCAACAATGTTCTGAATTGTTCACTCCCCATCCATAATACGCTTTCTGTATGCCTCCGTAGTCTCTGTGCAGGAAATCAGCTCATTAATTCAACACAGGTAGTGATGGCTTTTTCACTTATTTTTCAATTAGATTGCTCATAAGTCTTTCAATATACTATACAACAACCCCGAACATATTTCTATAGAATAACTTCTCTGGAAAAAGTAGATGCTTAGAATGCAAGAAAAAAAATATTTCCGATTTGTGCACGGTGAAATCACTGGCGTGCACAGGGTGGAGCAAGGTGGAGCAATTGCCCCTCCTTTTATAAATAATAATTTGATTTCCAAATTTACAAAATAACTTGATTTGGAGGTGAAATAACTTCATTTCATAAAATAAGAGCACGGAAAACCTTTGATTCCGTCAATTCCTTTGAAATGGTCCCTGAAAATTGCATCACAAAGGTGAAACTTCCGCTGAAACTTCAATGAAATTTTTTGGTCAAAAAATTGCACCACAATGGTGCATACAAAAAATTTCTGGTGTAATTTTTTTTTTCAAGGTGGTTCATGCAGGGTTTAAAGAAGGGGATAAATTTAGGGTTGTAAAAATTCACCTTCGTGATGGTGGATCGAAGAAAAAACTTTTTACTGAATATTTCTGGTGTAAAAATATCATCAAAGTGGTGCATGGAGGGACTAATCGAAATGAAAATTGGAATTGAATCACTCTAAAAATTTTGAGGTGCACATTTAACTGAAAATGTCTGGTGGAAAGTTCGCTACACTGTGGTGAATGTAGAAGCAAGGTTTATTCATTTTTTTGGTGCATAATTTGCATCGTTCTGATGAATGCAAGCTTCATTGAAAATTTATGGTGGAAAATTTGCTGCATTCTGGTGCATGAAGAGGCAAAGCCTGAAAATTGCACCACAAAGGTGCATTGTGAAACAAACTTCACTGACAATTTTTGGTACACCGTTCTGGTGAATGGAGGGGCATGCTTTATTGAAAATTTCTGGTGCAAAATTTGCATCGCTCTCAAAAATGAAATGAACGGAAAATTTCTGGTGAAAAACTTGCACTGGTTTGGTAAATGAAGGCACAAGCTTTATTTAAAATTAAGCTATATTGAAAAATTCTGGTGGAAAATCTGCACAACGGATGGGCAAGTTTTTTGGGAAAATGTTAGTCTTAAATTTGCATCCTTCTGCTGAATCTAGGGGCAAGACAGATTTTAATCATGAGCAATATTGGTGTTGATTCTGAGTAAGTCGAGTTGCTCATTATTGAATGCACGGTAGCACAGCAACTTGTTTGTGTACGTGTTTTTTCCCAAATGTCATCGTCAGATGTTTGGCGAAGCAAACATTTCAGAAGTTTCAAACCCATCACCATCCATTGACGTATCATACTGGATCACTATCCTCAAATCCCTTAATCTTCGTATATTTTTTGGTAAACCTTACTAAGTAGTTTTCACCTGAATTGAATGCAGACAATCATCATTCAATGATCACATGAAGAAGATTCACACTAAGATGCACATACCTGAAAGTCGGTAAAGCATACCTGAGAAAAAATCATGAAGAGTTCTAAATATAATTCCAGTGAACTTCTGAGAAGAATTACAAAAGAGCTCTTAGGAGAGTTCTAAAAAAAAAATCCGAGAAGAACCTCAAGGATATTGAATTCTGAGGAAAGTTCCAAAAGATTTCTAAGGAGTATTCCAAGAAAATTCTGCGTGTAATTTCTAGTAAATCCTGCAGATAGTTCCTAGATAATTCCAAACGAGGCTCGGTAGCTCAGTGGTTACCGTTTCTGCTAACTGAGCAGAAGGTCGGGAGTTCAATCCCAGGCCCGTCCCCTTCATTGCAGTTTTTCACTTTGCCTTATTCTATACCCACTAGATTTTAATGAAAACAAATTCTTCTTTAACACCGATCGCATCACTTACCACAGTGTGGGTCCTGGATGAGTGCGCGTGTGTGTGTGTGTGTGTTTGTGTATTATAATAGCTCTTCCAAAAACGATCCCTGCGTGTGCGTGCAACCTTTCCCCACATCCAACATCCCAGTGATTTCTCGTGGAAGCGCAGAGGATTTCTCGGTTTCCTTCACAGCGAGAGTACCACATCAACACATTCCTTCCCATTCCCTAGTTGACCTGCATTCGGACACGGCCGGCGCTGGTATTGCTAAATATTAGATCTCCAGTTCTTACACATTGAGGATGAATGTTAGTCCCAAACATCATCTGTTGGTTCTCTGTGTAATTGCAGCTGATCTGGTAATAACAGAGCAGCAACCGTGGGCGGTCAATCATGCTCATGCTGCTTCATGCAGATAGTTCCTAGATAATTCCGAAAAGAATACCGAGAAAATTAAATTTTGAGTGTAATTCCAAAAAGATTTTGAGGAAAATTTCAAGGAGTACCGATAATTTCTAGCTCATTCCGGGAACATTTTTTTTTGAGGAAATTATTCTGAAACTCTAAGGGAATTTCAGTTCCAAGGTATTCTGAGTAAAAGTCAAGAAGAGTTCTACTAAAAATAATTCCAGAGGACTTCTGAGAAGAATTTTAAAAGAGATCATAGAGTTCTAAAAAATTCGAAAAGAACCTCAAGGAATTCTGAGGATGGACTTTTTGGCAACTGTACAAAGTTTAAAGACAGCTTTTGGATTCCCTAATTGAAAAGTGGGTATTAGTTTGCCATTGAACCTTGGTCTATTGTTGTCTTACTAGAAATTCGTCTAAGAATCTTCTCTGAAAATTTCAAGTCATTTGTTACCGTGGTTAAAAAGTTACAGCTGTTTATGTGCGTTGCAATAAATTCGGGTTTGTCTTTTATTTTCTGTCACCCCGCCTGACTGAACTTTGGGACGGTTCATCATCGTCGATGCGATTAAATTGCCAATTATTAAATGGTCCAATGTTGTTATTCTTTTGCTTGATTGAATGATCGATTGCAA